TATATATATATATATATATATATATATATATAACATGCATACATGCATTTAAAATCTAAAATAAATGAATAATGATTAAGCAATCCAAGCCAACCCACTGATGGTATTATTCTTAATTTTTCTAAGTAGGAAAAATACTGTCAAGGTATTATTTTTTTGTTTAAAAAAAAAATTACATGCACCCAATATATATTTGTATTAATTTCTTTGTGATATTTGGTTGAAGCAAAATAATCAAATAAAGATATGAAATAAAATTATAATTAGTTTGAAGGTATATATTTATTTATTAATTGATTGTATATATTTGTTTTTAAATTTTTTAATAATATTAGTGAGTTTCATATAGGATATTCACAATTTTTTTTGTGTATATATATACATTTTCTTTTGGTAAAATTAATTTATTTTTTCAATAAACTTGCATCCCCTAAAAATAAATTAAAAAAAAATTAAGAAAAACCAGCCTACTACTACAATTACTATATATATATATATATATATATATATATAATGCTGATCATTGTGCATTGGTTAATGACAATGACATGTATCCTTTATATTCATTTATTTATGCAGGCCATGTTTGGCGTGATGGTGGATTCCACCACCACCATGTTGCATCAATGGAGCAAATTCATATCTATGGGCATACATAAGATTGATGTTGAGAAGGACATTACTAGAAACGCAGCTGAAATAATAGCCAAAACAAGCTTTGGAATAAGCCAAGAGAAAGGGAAGAAGGTATTTGAGAAGCTACAATCCATGCAGATAATGCTCTTCAAATCAAACAGACTCGTTGGAGTTCCATTCAGCAAGATTCTATCACCCAAGCAATCTTACAAGGCTTGGAAGCTCGGCAAAGAGATTGATGAGCTTCTGCTGGAAATTATCAGCAGTAGGAAGAAGGAGAATAATTCAGAGAGTATGGATTTGCTTGGTCTTTTGCTAGCTAGAAAAAGTTCTAAGGAGATGGAGAGGAGTGAGAAGAAGCTAAGTAGTAGGGAGCTTGTTGATGAGTGCAAGACTTTCTTCTTCGGTGGACATGAAACGACTGCTTTAGCTCTCACATGGACTCTTTTGTTGTTGGGTGTTTATCCTGAATGGCAGAAGGTTCTGAGGGAGGAAATTATGGAGGTGACCCAAGGAGAATCACTTAACTCTAGCATGCTTTCAAGGCTTACCAAGGTATGGATATTAAGTTAATTAACCAAACAAAAGGCTCATGTAATGTTAGTCTCTAGCAAATTTTGTTTATGTTGCTCATTTGTTTCATATATTTTTGATGATTTTCAGATGGGATGGGTGTGGAATGAGGTTCTTCGATTGTATTCGCCGGCGCCGAACGCACAAAGGCAGGCGAAAGAAGAAATTGTTGTTGGAGAAGTTGTTGTCCCTAAGGGGACAAACATGTGGATTGATGTAGTTGGAATCCATCATGATCAAGCTCTTTGGGGTGATGATGTGAATGAGTTCAAACCAGAAAGGTTCAAAGACAACATCAATGGGGGATGCATGCATAGATTGGGGTTCATGCCATTTGGATTTGGTGGGAGAATTTGCATTGGAAGAAACTTGACTTTGATGGAATATAAGATTGTTTTGAGTCTCATTCTTAGTAAATTTTCTATATCTATATCACCAACATATATTCACTCTCCAAGAATTATGTTGTCATTGAGGCCATCACAAGGAGTTCCATTGATTCTTCATGCTTTGGAGTGATTAGAAGTTGGGGATTGAGTAGGGTGGAAGGGAGAGTGTCATTTCCATTGATATACATAAAATCTTTTATTTATTTTCTTTTTAATTACATTATATGAAAGAAAAAAGCATATATCTAGTGATCTTCTAATTTAAATGCTGTTATTGTTTTTTGATTCAAATGTCTTATGTCCACTAGATCATCAATTAAATTGAGCAAAAAATAAGAAATAGAAAAAAAGCTACATGGTCTCTGTTAATGTACTTTATGCAATAAGAAATGTGGCTTAAGTTGTTTAAATTTCAGCATTCCTAATTAGTTTGAACAAAGTAATTTTTTTCAAAGTTTTCTATTTTATCGCACATATTCGATGAATTGTAATAGAAAAGGTAAAATATCTAAAATGTACTATCTTCCACCTATTATACACTTAAATTTTGTTCATATCCTCATGGCCTTCCTTTCTCAAGTGTCAAACTTCATGCATGAACATTTTTTTCTCTAGTTTCTCTTTATTCTTTTCTAATAATGATTATATTTAGAGGTGATTGAGCATGAACGAGCTAATTATATGTTCATATTAAATTTGCTACAAAATTTTTTTGTTCGAAATGATGTAGGATTCTAAATTATTTGCTATTATAATCTTCGAGGTTTATTTTTATTAATCTTAAAGAAGTCATACAACTCTTTTTGACTCAAATACATCCAACCATAACATCAAGTGTGAGTCAATTTTGCTATTTAGATTTGTCTTGACCTTCACCAATGGCTCCCTCTCCATCATTGTTTGGGGCTTAACACCATCTATCCTCTTCATAATTAACTAAAGCCCTAGATTTTGCACTATCCCTGACCCAAATTTAATTAATCATTTGAAACTTTCTCCACACTTATGACAAGGGATTCTATCTGCGTTAGGATTTAGATTGCTCAATATAATGATCTCAACAATTAGTTTGAATCTAATGTCTAAGAATTTTCACCTATATATTCATGTAGGCATAATTAAATAAAATGATTATTTTTAATTATTTAATAATTCTAATAACCAATTTAATTATTAAAAAATAATACTAATTTCATAATTATATGTATATATACACTTATTTATTTATTTCTATAAGCAAAACGAGTTCAATGTGATCAACCTAGTATCCTTTTGTGTCAACTTATTTAAAAGTCAAGCTCAAAATACTTGTTATTATTGACCTCACTTAATTAAAAAAATAAAAATATATAGATTATGAGCTTTTTTTTAACCTTAAATTTCTCAATGTAAAAGAGACATAAACATGATAATACTTGCAATATGAACTTCTATACAAATTTAATATTAAATAAAAATAAAGAGAAACAAAAAAAAAATGAATATAATTACTATATGAAATTGTACAAAAAGAGACCATACATGATAAATAAGTTTGACTTTCAGTCAAAAGCTTAAAGAGCATATATTGGCGTGTCAGATTTTTCCTTCATTAAAAAAAAAAAGGTCTTCTACGCATATTTGACTAAAAAAGAATTTTTGTTTGACCTAAGAAATATATTTTGACTTTTCCTATAAAATAAAAAATAAATGAATAATATATATTTAGGTATTTGCACCAAACAAAACATTGTTATTTATAAATTAAGCGCTCTGGTGATTTTCTGAACTATAAAATTGATGAATTTATGAGTGTCACAATCATATATATATATATATATATATATATAATGCTGAAAAAATATCAAATAATTAAAAGGGATCAAACCTAAGATGTAAGCATGCCAACGCTACCTGGCTATGATAAAACAATTGTTTTAAATGTCGTTTTTAATATCCTTTGATGTAATTATTTTAATTTTATTTATGACACAATAATTTAAGAAATTTCACCTCATTCCTTGGCTTTTCTTAACAATTTTTTTTTTTCGGGCAAGTGCATTAATCATCATATTGTTATTTTGCATGGAATTTTCTAATTAAAAATCTACATTATAGAAAATATATTTTTGTTAAATATTAAAGGAATACAAATTGCATCGAAATATGATGCAATTTGCTTCATGATATATAATCAGATAAGATTTTCTAGAATTTTATGAAAATTAAATGACCATTAAAATGTTTTTATTTTTATTTAAGTGGAATATTTTTATCTTGACCAAGACTTTTAAATGCCCTCTAATTTTGAATATTTTTTTTATATAATTTTAAATAATTTATCGGATCAACCCCATGCAAATTACATCGTAATATTTACATAACTTTAATCTAATTTCATGTAAATATTTATTTCATTAAATTGAAAAAAAAATAGAATTATCAATCATAGCATTATGGGACAAAATTAAACTCCATTTTTTCCCTCAAGGACGACCTGTGAACAACTAAAGAGAGTCTACAGGCAGCCTAGAATGAATCCACGTCACATTCATAAGTAATGTCAGTCAGCTTGTGCACGAAAAAATAATATTATGATATTGAAATTTTCATATAGCTAAGATTTAAAGCCCAGTGTGAGTTAAATGTATTTGATGAGATTCTGGAAATTGATTAGTTAAATGCAATAAGATAATATTTTTTATAAATACATATAAGATTAAACTAGCTTTGAAATTTAACATAAAAGACTAATCTCCCAAAATACAAATAAGATTTCAAGGAAATTTCCAAATGATCTTATGAAGTTTTAGACTACTTGAGTTGTTGAGCTCATGTTTATAAGTGAATCACATCAAGGAATAAAAAGTAAAATGAGAGAGAGATTATGGTCAATTGGGGGCGTTTAAGCTCCCTTTTAAAATTTCTTTTCTAGTGTTCCTCCCCCTAATTTCAGAAATTAAGGAGATCCTTCTTATAATATGGCCTACTCCCATGGGAAACTTCTTATACGTATTAAGCACTTACTGAACTTGTGTATATATGAAAATTTGTTGCTTAAATTAAGCACAAAGGTTCATATATAAATCCCGTATTTTTCACATATATATTTTTTACTTCAAATTTCTTATAAGAATTCTTGCAGAATTTTGCTGGTGAAAAAAGTCTACCAAGTGAGGCTTGCAAAATCGGTACCATAATTGCTATTAATGGGGTTGTGCATCTACCTCAATGGTCGTTGTTCACTCAAAAATAGAATCGAGTTTTGGTTCTGATCTAGAACGGATCGAAATAAATGAGAGCCATGAGCTAAAAGTTTGGATCGAATTTTTTTTGGCCTAATTTAACTCAGCTCAAAATCAGATCGTTAACAGTCCAACTAATCTTAAAGCTGTGAATTTAGTGAAGATAACTTGAAGATTGTTAATCACACTAAAAGTTATTCGATTTTTGGATCGTATTGAGATTAGACCGAAATAAATGAGTCGAGCTATGAGCCAAAATTTTGAATCAATTTTTTTTAGAATTGGTTTTGACCCAATTACACCTCGGCTCAAAATAGGATCGTTGGCCCTTATGTTTCTTGATATATATATATATATATATATATATATTCATTCCCCTTTACGGAGAGGGCAAGAATTAACAATGAATAGCCTTAAGAAGTCGCGGCTCATGTTACACAGAAACGGGAATAATGTTAGGAAGCACCGCAAGCAGGGCTCTGATTATTCGAAATAGTTCAATGAATAGCCAATAAATAATAAAATTTATATACTTTTTAACTTATTTTTTATCATAAAATATAAAAAATAATTTATATATTTTCGGTACTTCAAAAGAATTTATTTTTTTTATTAAATATAAACAGTATACATTCAGGTACAAGACATTGTTAGTCGAAGCTCGGATCATAATAAACATAAATTTAAATGAGAGCTGCGTGATAAATTTCTAATGTAATTATAATTTTTAATTAGGGGCATTTACGTAAATACCTCAAACTCTCAATTTGAGAAGATTGGACTGCCGTCACAATTTCCATTTGTTAAAAAATTTATTGATATAGCAAACCTTGCCTATTTCAATTCTCATTTCAACTTGGCATGAAAAAAGACATTATGAACTTCTATTTCAAAAAAGGCTTATTGCTCTTGTATCTTTTGTTTTCAATTATTAACCCTCACTCCATAACTAATTACATATTATGACTTTGAACCCATTCCTCTTGTCTCCACAACCAAGCTTTGTTCCCATCAATCTCCAGCTTCTAAAAATAGAGAACACGCATCTCAATGTAGATGGAAGGTAATGAAGTCTTACTTAAGCGAGAAAGTGTGAAGTCGAGAACTCCAAGAGGATGGTGATGATTCATGCAGGCTTTGATGAGGACATGAGGGCTGAGAGCAAAACAAGCTGGCTCGCTGGCTGGCTGGCTGCGCGCTGCTGAGATTTTTGGTACCACACGAAATTATTTTTCCCGTCTCATGCAAAATCCCCCACCTTCTACTCTTCAGGGGTGGAAAGAGCTCTTTTTCTCAACCGATAGAGCCTCATAAATGCATCTTTCAGAACTGGGCCCCGAGCTTTCTCTGCCTATAAATCTCTATCTCTGTACGCTCTACAGGCCTACACAGGCTTCCGAACACCAAAACTTCCACTGTTAGCAACAGTGGGAGTGGCAGCAAATGCACTTTACAGATGTGCGCACAATGTTTCTATATAAGTAATCTAGGAGAGCGCTACGAGCAGCTAGTTGGGCAGAGCTATTAAGGAGAGAGGTATGATGGGAATGGTGAGGAGACATAGAATAATACAAGTACTGGAGGAGCTATCTTGGTTAGATTTTGCATGATCCCACGGTCCTAAGGTAATGATTGGTGTCATTATGCGTGGGGTTTGTAGTTTATCATCGAATTTAGGAGCTGCAAGCACAATCAGGCTACTCTGTCTTGCTATCATGGATATCATTTAATTAACCGAATGATCACCAAGTGTTGCATAAATATGACTATGAGTTATTTATTTATTTTTTAATAATCATACGGGTGCTTCCAGCTAAGTTCTAAGCTTTCGTGAGTGGGCTATATGGTGCTTTTTCCTCAAACCGTGAAGCACTAAGAAAGGTGGTTTGATTCCACTGCTAATAGGCATGCCATCGCTTGAAGCCTGAAGACAT